CCTTAGCATGCTAGAAAAATGGGAGCTGTTGTTTAGGCCCTGGGCCCCTTGGCTGTTTCCGACTTTACCTCCATTATAGCAGCTCCTAACATAATTTCCACAAAGCAAGGCCTTCTTTGTTTTGGTTCCAAGTCCTCTAAATTACTGATGAGGTGATATGAACGGCACCTTCAACAACCAGAGATGCTGCTGAGTGAAGGATAACTGGCCAGACCTGCCCCACCCCCAAACATCCAGGAAGGCCTCTGGGGTGGGGGGGTAGGGGGTGTGAGGGGGCAGCTTTGATCCACTGAGCCCTAATTTGCATTTTTTATTCCAGGGGCAAGTGCCCAGGACACATAGAACCAAAGAAAGACCCACACCAACTTCTTAAGCTCAATTCAGCTGAGGATGGTGGTAAGATGGACCTTGAGATGCTAGGTGCTGGGTGTGCATTATTTGTAAATGATGAAGGAATTCAAGCGGGCGGCATTCTCATTGGATTGGAAAGGTGGGGGTCCTCAAGGCTCTGTCCTGGGTCCCCTTCTCTTTTTCCTCTGTACTGTCTTCTCAGTTCCCTTGGGTTTAAATAACACCCCCATGCAGGTGATTTCTAGATCTGTCTGTGCAGCCCAAGTCTCTTTCCGAGCTCCAGGCCTGCACCTATGCCTCAAACTGGATGTCCCATAGGCATCCCAAACACAAATGTCCTAAACTGAGCTCGTCATCTCTTCCTCCAAACCCCACCTCTTTTGAACTCCCTGTCACTGTGAAGGACACTACCATCACCTAGGCTCATAACCTTGGTGCCATCCTTAGCCAGCTAGGTGGCTGGGCAGATAGAGCTCTAGGCCTGGAGTGAGGAAAAGCTGAGTTCGAATATGGCCTAGTTGTGTGACTCTGGACAAATCGCTTGACCTCCATCTGCCTCAGTTTCCTAATGTATAAAATGGGGATAAGAGCACTTACCTCACAAAGTTGTTGTGAGGATCAAATGAGATGATATTTGTTAAGTGCTTAGTACAATGCCTTGCACAAAGAAGGCACTTAATATGTGTTTTTTTCCTTTCTTTCCTCCCTTCCTCCTTTCCTTCCTTCTTTCTTTCCCTCCTCCCTTCCTCTCCCCCTCCTTCCTCCCTTCCTTTCCTTCCTCTGTCCCTCTCTCCCATCCATCCTTCCTTCCTCCCCCTCCCTCCCTCCCTTCCTCCCTTCCTTCCTTCCTCCCTTCCTTCCTTCTTTCCTTCCTTCCTTCCTTCCTTCCCTCCTTCCCTCCCTCCTTCCTTCCTTCCTTTTCCACACTTACTTCACATATCCAACCTGTTCCCAAATCTTGTCATGTCTACCTTTCCAACATCTCTCCTATAAATCTCTCCTCTCACACACATAAAACCACCAGCCTAGTTCAGGGCCTTGCCATTTCTTTCCTGGACTATTATACTAACTGGCCTCTGCCTGGCCTCCCTGCCTCAAGTCTCTTATTCCTCTGGTCCATCTCCACTTAAGGGCCAAGGTGATGCTTCTAAATCATCACCTGACTATATTGCCTCCTTGCTCAGTGAGCTCCCGAGCTCTGCATTATCTCCAGGACCAGTAGAAAGTCCTCTGGGATTTCAATCCCTTCACAACACAGCTGCTTTCCTTTTTAAGTCTGTTTCCACTGCACTCCCTCCCACACACCCTGTGATCCAGTCACACTGGCCCACCCTCTATTCCTTGAACATGACCCTCCACTCCCTGTCTTGTTGTACCAGCTGGTCCCCATTCCTGGGATGCTCTGGCCCCTCATTGCCACCTCTTAGTTCCCCTGGATTGCTTCAAGATTCTGCTTATATCCCAGCTTAGGCTGGAGTTCATGCATAAAGGGCTAACCATGGGTGGGGGCAATGACACTGGGCATCTGAAGGATGAAGATGGTAAGAGTGGGCATAGAAGAGGCGGGCAGACCATGGTGACCCTCTGGCCCCTAGGCCAGAGGCCTAAGGAGAGCCGCTGCCCTACTTAAGCAGGCAGGGAATGGAGGCAAAAGAGATGAAGAGAAAGAGACAGAGACAGAGGGACACAAAGAGAAACATGGCGGCAGCAGCATCTGTCAGTTTCAGAATCTCTCCCTGAGCGGGTTTTGTGTCAGTTTCACCAGAACAGGAACAGCAGGAAAAAATCCTGGTTCTGCCACTTAGTAGCTGTTGGATTTGTCTGTGTTGCTTTGAGCGTCAGTTTATTCATCTATAAAATGGAGATCATGATGCTTGCGCTATTTACCTTGCAGCCTTGTTACTTTAAAAACCTTAACGCATCACATAAATTTGAGCTATTGATATTATCGACCAACAGAAAGGTATTATGGGGATTGAATGAGATAATCTAGACAAAGAACGTCCTGAGGGGTTGGCGGTGTGCATGGCTGCCGTCAGCATAAAGAATGAACAGACTCGCCTCCATTTTCCCTCCTGAAACCTTCTCTGAGTCTTCGATCCCACCCCTTCCCCAGATCACAGAGCTTTTGAGAGCTGGGAGGGGCCTTCGGGTTACAAAGGAAGCAGTCTGAAGCAAAGGTCACCCAGGGAGATGTGACTAAAACCCGGCCTGCATCTTTTCTGACCTTGGTAAACTCCCTTCCCCTTCTTTCTCCTTTGAGGCAATTTTACAGTTGCCTGAACTATTAAAAAATAAAAAATTGAGGCTGAGGAGGAGGAGGGGGTTAGACTGAGCTCATTGGCTCTGAATCCAAATCCAGTGAGACCTGCGTGATGACGCCTCTGCCGTCCTATGATCTCACGAGCCCTGGGAGTCCCCCAAAGGCAGGGACAGGGTCTGTCCCCCAGGGCCAGGCACAGAGTGGGTCTCTCTCAGTGCTGTGGATTTCATTTCTTCTTTGCAGGGGAGAGGGTTTCGGAGCAGTGACCGGCCCGGTGGCCTCCTGCCTGCCCTGGAGACGTAGCTGCCTCCACCTGGGTCTTGTGTTCGAATCGCCTTTGTACGGAGCAGTGTCAGTGGATGGAGGCTTGGGGTTTTCCAGGTTAACTTCCTCCAGATAGGGGAGCACGGAACGATTTCTCGAGTATTTTCTAACTCCGACCGACATACCAGAGCATGTGGGTTTGAATGGTACCCTGGTCCTCACCACCTGTGTGAACCTGGACCTCATTTAACGTCAGTTTTCTCATGTGATGAGGGACACAGCAAGTCCAGTGGAAAGGGCAATCATCGGCTCTTGACAAAGAAGATCTGGGTTCAAATCCTGCCTCTAAGGTTTATTACCCGTGTGACTTGGGGCAGGTCGCCAACTCTCTGGGCCTCAGTTTTCTCATTTGTGGAATGAAAACCGACTTCCAGCTCTAGTTTGATGATCTGTGGAAGAAGCCTAGTGCAGCAGGCAGAGTGCTGGACTTGGGGAGAACTGGGTTCGAATCCTGTTTTTGAGGCATTCTAGCTACATGACCATGGACATGTCACTTACCTGTGGGCTGAAGGCAGCTCCTTAGGACATGTTCTGCTGATCTGAGCTGGGGGGACTGGAGGTCCCCAGACTGACAAAGTTGTGTATTTCTCTTCTGTAAGATGAGGGGAATGGATTATGCCAGGGTCCGTTCTAGTTCTAAATCTGATGGCTTGCCCAGGCCACACAGTTGGAAAGTATCAGGAATGTCTTCGGATTCTTTCCTTTTATATTGGGCTGCATCTCCAGAGTTCTAGCCCTAAAGCCAGCCCCTGTGAGATCCCCCTAGCTCTCCTCTTGGCCACCTCTCTCTGGAAAGTCCCTGGTAAGGGTAAGGGAAACAGGTACTGATTGAATGGTGTCACTCTCGGCCTGTGGATGAAGTCAGACGAGAGGAAGGCAGGGCAGGTGCAGAGGCTGATATTGGCTGCCTCACAGAATGAGGACCGGTAGAGCTCTGGCTGGTGGATGATTCAGGGCTCCTGTCCGAGGCTAGCTCTCAGAAATGCCCAGGACCTGCCAAAGGCTGGCTAAAGGCTGAAAGAGCTGTCAGGGAGGCAGGAGCCAGGGGGAGTTAACAGCGACTTGCACGCTCCTCATATTCCACAAACTCACAGGAAACATCTGCCCAGCGTCTCCAAAAACCCAAGTGGCATTTTCCGGCTGAACAATGATGTGAGTGGGAGTTAAGGAGCCTCCTAGGTGGCTAACAGACGGGGACCTGGGCATGGAATCTAAGGGAACAGGGATCTGGGTGGAAGTTACCTCCCTGTAACTTCCCTGCCGCTGGCCCTAGTTCTGCTCTTTGCTACTAAGGAGACCGTGGCTAATTCCCCCTTGCTCATTCCTGGGTTTGGTTAGGTAGATTTTTCCAAAGTGGAAAAAATAATCTGGGGAAAGATACTGAGTCACATGTAGTCAGGAGATGATGAGAGACAGACTCTATATTCAAGGTTGTGGCCAGAAAGACCATTCTCTGCCCTGTGTTTATTTTCCCACCCCCAGCTTTTCCTGTCCCCTCACCCTTCTTTCCCTGTGTTCTGCCATAAGCATTTCTCTGTGCCCCTGGAGGGGCAATGCCTCAGAGGGCCTGGTGTCAGGGCAGCAGTGGAGGGCAAGGGGTTAACTGATGCCCACTGGCTTGGGGCTCCCCTTCTGTTCCACTCTTGGCGTTCTCTTCCAGCCCTAGCCGGGCAGTCAGTGGGTTACTGCTTTGGCCGTGCAGTGAGGAACTGGTTACCTGCTCACACCTTTGGATTGACTCAGTCCGAAGCACCAATGCCAATGTAGGCGCTGAGTGTGCCAGGCCTGCGCTCCCCTCTCTCTCCCTTCTCTGCCACTGCCACTGGAAAACATGGGCCTAGGGCTGATGTGCACGTCTCCCACGCCCCTACCCGGGCCTGTCTCCATTTATCTAAACACTCACGGTCTCCTCCTCAGGAAGTCTGAGAGAGCTTGGAGTGGCTGTATCCGTGTGTGTTTGTGTGTGTGTGTGTGTGTGTGTGTGTGTGTGTGTGTGCGCGGCCTCAGCAGGAAATGCCTCATCACAGCAGCTCCTAGCAGCCTCCCTGGACAATAGTGTGGCCTCACTGTCCCTTGGCCCCTGCTCCATTCAGTCCTAACTTGGCACACTGGACCATGCGTCGCCCCTGTGGCCCCAGCCTCCTCCTACTATACTGCTTCCTGGTGGGCAGCCTGGCACAAACCGACTATGATGAAGATAATGCCAATGGAGGTGAGTTATGCCCTTAGGAGAAACGAAAGGGCAGTGCTCTGAACTTACCCTTTCAGGGTCCTTGATGGGGAGGGAGGCCCAAGGGGTTCTTGTAGCCTCCCGAGATTTGCTGATACTATTACCAGTCAGATCCTGCTCCAGGGCTGTTTCAGAGAATGTAGGGCTGGGAGGGTGGGCAGGCGAGGGACAAACATGGGCATTCCTGCCATTGAGATTCTGTCTTTGACCCAGGTGGCTGAGATGAACAGGGTGCCTGAGGCTGGTATGGGACAAAGAGAGTTTAGGGATCATCTATCTCAAGTCCCTCATTTACCCGGGAAGAAACCAAGGCCCATATGTGGAACCGTACATCTAGGCTGAATCCAGTACTTTCCCCCTATGCCACACGTGAGAGAAGGGCTGGAGAACTTAGTTCAAACCATAATCTGAGATTTGGGAGAGATCTCGGGGATTGCCTGGTCCAAGTTACACTGAACAGGAATCTCTACTACAATTTACCCAAGCGATATACAGTGCATGGTCCATAGTAGGTGCTTAATAAATGTTTATTGATTGATTATTGATCGATGGACTATGTAGCATCTGTTTGGTGAAGGGGTCCTATCTCAGGGGGGTGCCCTCCCGGGGGGAGGGGCAGCTCTCATGATGAGGAAGTTCTTCTGATATTGAGCCTAAATCTGTCCCTGGCACCCTTGCTTCTTTGCCTCCCAAAGTCAAGCTCTTCATTCCGCAGAGAAGAGAAGCAGTGTCTGCTTTCTCCTCTATAAAATGGGGCTAATATCTGCAGAGCTGCTTGGAGGAAAAACTTTGTAAACTGTAAAATGGTATAGAAATGGGGGGATGGAGAGACGATGCTTTCAAATTGGCTGCTCCTCGTGCAGCTACCCATGGGATAGGCTGCGGGAGCCAGAGCTGGATAGAGCTGAAATGGCGCCTGAATCAAATTCGGTCAGCAGAGCAAAGAATGACACAAAAGTCAGCCGTGGGCAGTCACAGGGAGTGAGGCAGGGGGATTCCTCAGAGAGTCTTGGCTCTCACACTCTTTGGGGGTTGGGGGTGAAAGTCAGCCCTGAGAGAGAGCTGCAATGGCAAGGAAGCCTGGGGGTGGGTCAGGGTGGTCATACCCTGTTCCTCTAGAGGACCGGGAAGCAATGGCCAGGGTTGGTGGTTATGGCAAAGTGGAAGCACCCTACAACCTCCCCCCCCACATAAATACTGGCACCCTGAGGAAAGGTCCTGTTCTCTCAAGCTAATAATAATTCTACTTTTGGCTCTAGTCTTGGGGAGGCTGTGTTTTGGGGTGTCCTGGGGTAGAGGGCGGCAGCTGTAGGGGAAAGAATACTGCATTTAAAGTCAGGGGATGTAGGTTTGAATCCTAGCCTTGCTATTATTATCTACATGACCTTGGAGAAATTATTTCATTTCTCTGAGCCTCAGTTTTCCCATTTGTAAGATCAGGAGCGGGGCTTGGAAGAAAGGGTTGGGATAAATGAGCTTGTGTTAGAATCAAGATCCTGCCATTTATCATCTGTTTGATAAAATACCTTTTCTTCCTCACCTGTTAAATGAGAGGGGGAGACTAGCTGACCTCTAAGGTCGATGGCCCCCCCTACCTACCATGGTCCCGTCCAAACAAACCCACATCCTTCTCCACGGTCAGGACTCTGCACCAGGCTGTCTCTGTTACCGAGGACTTTCCCGGCCCTTGACTTCCCCCAAATCATTTCCTATCATCCATACAATCTACCCAGAACATCTGGAAGATGAAACAGCTACCTCTGTTGGGAAGGAGGGAGGGAAACATTCACACTGGGCCAAATAGCGATTTAGTTCAGAGAGAGATGAGAGATTACTTTGATTCAGATGTTTCAGGAAAAATTCAGAAGATTAGCATCTGTGTAACTTCTCGGAAAAGTCTGAGGTATCAGCGCAGGCTGGCACCGTTTTCAGTGCTGTTAGTCACGCAGGTTTTGGGATGTGGTGACAGAACACTGGGTCCTCTTCCTGTTTCTGTCATGGGGCCACAGGCAAATCACTGGGTCTCCAGTTCCTTTTCCACCTTGGGAATCATCTCAGATATGGGGTCATGACCCGCAGTTTAGGAAGTGCTGAAGAGGTCTTGAGTGGAAAAAGTTTAAGAAGCCTTGATCTGAGGCTCTTTCCACTACAGCTAATGACTAAAGTGATCCTGTGCTTAGCACAGTGCCTGGCACATAGTAGGCACTTTATAAATGTTTATTGGTCGATTGACCCACTAAGCGCTCCTTGCTTGTCTTCCTCTTCAGACAAGCCGACCACATACTACTCTCAGTGAGAGCACACACAGCCCATCCCACAGGCTTACTTCACTTCTTCATGGGCACCCAGAGTACAGGCCTGGCTGGGAAACCAGCTCCAGCTGCTGGTCTGGAGGGAATTGAGCTGATGACAACTTTGGGTTTGTCTTCTTCAAGTGGAGAAACTGAGCCTTGGACTCAGGTGATGGGAGCAGCTAGGCTTCCACCCTTGTGGAGACTCTGCTCTGAGTGGACGATGGTCATTATTAGGGGGGGCACTGTTTCCATGATTAAGGGGCCATGGAGCAGAAAGGCTAAGGATGGCTGGGGTCAGACTGCGCTAACCCATAGCTGCTTCTCATCACAGATGACAGAGCAGATCCCCACACCAATGAGACCTCATCCCACTTTGTCCTCTGCCCGAGAAGCTTCCCTGGGGAGAAGATGAACTTCAATAACACCACCTACCTGTGTATTGGAAAGGACTCCAGGGAGCACCTGTTCAGCTGGGTCTCCACAAGCCTGGTCCCCTCCCTCTACACTCTCGTCTTCTTGGTGGGCTTGCCAGCCAATGGCTTAGCTTTGTGGGTGCTGGCTGCCAAGATCCAGAAACTGCCATCCACCATCTTTCTGATGAACCTTGCCGTGGCTGACCTGCTCCTGGTTCTAATCCTACCCTTCAAGATCTCCTACTACTTCCTGGGCCACCACTGGGTCTTCGAGGAGGGGCTCTGTCGCCTGGTGACTGCTTTCTTCTATGGGAACATGTCCTGTTCCATGTTGCTCCTGGCCTGCATCAGTCTGGACAGGTACCTCGCCATCGTCCACCCGTTCTTCTCCCGTTCTGTGCGTGGCCCTGCCTTTGCCGTGGGCCTCTGTACCGTCGTCTGGCTTGGGGCAGCCTCCCTCACCCTGCCCCTGACTGCCCAGCGCCAGTCCTACCCACTGCATGGCAGCTCTGGGCTCGTCCTGTGCCATGATGTGCTCCCCCACGATGAGCAGGCCAGCCACTTCCTGAATATCTTTGTCTGCCTGGTCCTCTTGGGGTTCCTCCTCCCGCTGCTGGTGATTCTCTTCTGCTATGGCTCGGTTATCTACGTCCTGGTGGCCAGTGGGAAGACGTATGGCTATGCCATTAAGCTCACCGTGCTGGTGCTGGCCTCAGCAGTCACGCTCTTTACCCCCAGCAACGTCCTCTTGCTCATCCACTATTCGGACACCAGGGCCAATGGCTTTGGAGACCTCTACTTCTGGTATGTCCTCAGTTTGGCTGTCAGCACCCTCAACAGCTGTGTGGACCCTTTCATCTATTACTATGTATCGGAAGAATTCCGGGACAAAATAAAGAGAGAGCTTTGTCAGCAGGACAAGCGCGTGCTCACAGTCCGGAAAACCTCCAAGGAAGATGTCGTTGGGTTGGGTACCCGCTCTACGTCTCTAATATAGACATCCATCTGAAGCGGCAGGGGGTTTGGCCGGAGGGTGGGAGGCACGGGCTTTCTGACTCTTGCACAGAAGGGCTTGTTATTTGTGTCAGCCCCAGTGGAATCCCCCTTTGTCCTTGCCCTCAAGGTTCCCTGTAAACCCCACCTTTATCCTTTCCTCAGCAAATTTTGCAAAGATGAGAGGGGATTGGCATGCGGGCTTCTGCACTCTGCTTTCCCTTCCAGCTTCCACTTCATCAAGAGGACTTTCACCATGAACACCCAACCCCATTTCCAGGGAGGTCCAGTACATTGTTCCCTATTGGATAAGTATTGACACATCTGATGGTGTCTGTGCTGGAGAAGAGAAAACTTGGTGGGGACAGGGGCCAGGGTGGGGTGAGGTGGGGTAACACACTATCTGCCTTCTGATGATTGAAACAAAGAGGGATTAAGATAGTCTGCTTGGGGGGCAGCTAGGTGGTGCAGTGGATAGAACACTGGCCCTGAAGTCAGGAGGACCTGAGTTCAAATGCGGCCTCAGACCAAACTCTTGACACTTACTAGCTGCGTGACCTTGGGCAAGTCACTTAACCCCAATTGCCTTAAAAAAAAAAGATATTCTGCTTGACCAAAGAAGGAAGAGATAGGATCAAGGCTTGGGGAGAGACTTACATACAGATTTTGGCCAATATGAGAAATACCCCCTAATGATAAGAGCTGCCCAAAAGCAGAATGGGCTGGCCAAGAGGAGGTGAGGTACTGAAGAAGGCTGGATGATGACTTGGCGAAGTTATGCCGTGCTTCAGGCAAGGAGGTGGAAGTCCCTGCCAACTCCAGCATCCCATGCCTTGTCTTACTGGGGCTGCTGTCGGCTGGACTGGAGGCCTGTCCTGAGGGCACAGCCTTCCCGCCTGAACCTTCAAGATCCCGGAGCGCTCCATCTTCAGTCGAGACAGGTCAGGCTGGGCTTATTGTGCCCATCAGTTGCTCCGTGTTCTCCCAGAAACACGACTATGGCTGCAGGGTGGACTCTGCTGACCGAGAGCTGATTAAGGCCCACTCTGGTTCTAAGCAGGTTCCTCTTATGTGACCCAGCAAATAAAAGGAAAGGTTCCTGACCAAGCCAACTGCTCTCCCCATAAGACATCCATGCTTGGTGGCAATAGTATATTTTAGCCTGTAAGGGCTAGAACTGACTTTAGGATACAGAATGTGGAGGTGAGAGGGACCTTACAACTAATAACATGGGAGGTAAGAGGACCCTGAGGATATAGAATGTCAGGGCTGGAAGGGCCCTTAGAATACAGCATGTCAGGGCTGGGAGGGAACTTAGAACACACAATGTCAGAGCTGGGAGGGCCTTTAGAACACTGTCACATCTGGGAGGGCCCCTAGAACTCAGAGTGTCAGAGCTAGAAGGGCCCTTAGAACACAGGATGTCAGAGCTGGGAGGGCCCTTAGAACACAGAGTGTCAGAGCTGGGAGGGCCCTTAGCACACAGAGTGTTAGAGTTGAAAACATCCAGAGACTAGCCAATCCAACTATCCTTACTTTACAGAAGATGGAAGAGAAGCTCAGAGAGGGCTCACAGGAGCTAGAAGGACCCTTAGAGGTTATCAAGTTCATTTTACAAATGAGGAAACTGAGGCTGAGAAGTGAAGTGATTTGCTCAGAGCCCCACAGCTAAGAGTGTACAAGGCAGGTTTCAAACCCAGGTCTTCCTAGGTCCATGCCCAGCTCTCTGGTGCCCCTCACTTACTCCAAGCCCCACATCTGACAAATCAGGAAAGTGAAACTGAGAGAGGTTAAGTCTGTCCCGCAGAACTGGAATTAGAACCCAGGGCCCGGCTCCAGATCGTGTGCTCTCTTCACTACATAAGAGTCTTTGAATAGTTCAAAGGCAAAGTTGGAACCAGAGTCCAGCTCTCTGACCCCATCCAGAGGCAGGTTCTCATTCTCTGCCCTTTGCCATAGCACACGGCTGCCCTTCACCTGTGATCTGGGCCAGGCCACCTCAGGATGGAAGGCTATTAGCAAGCAGTAAACAGACTAAGCCATGGGTGGTGCCTCCTTCCCTGATGGAGCCTCAAGGAAGAGCTGGGAGGGATGTAGAGGGAGACCACCTAGTCAAATCCCCTTATTTGACAATTGAGGAAAGTGAGGCCTACCTCACTTTAGGTTAAGAGACCTGCCCAGGGACACTCAGTCAGGAGGTATCAAGATTCAAACCTAGATCCTTTAGGCTCTAAGTCTTATACTCAAGCCACTCTGCCTTGCTTCCTTCTTCACGCCTTGGCTGGAAGCTGGGGAAATGACGAGAATTTTCTAACTTGCAGGTTAAGCTGAGGGAAGGAGGAGAGGGTCCTTAGGGGGATCTGAGCAGCCCCAGGGATCTCGCCTAATGCCCTGGAATGGAGAGTTTCTCTGACCTCGGTGACTTGACCTATACTTCCTGAAAGAGTCAATGGGCAAATGGGATGACAGCCGGCCAGTGAGGCAGAGGCAGGATCCTTGGGAGCCGGTATTCTAACAAGAAAGCAGGCTGCTCTCACTGCCCGCTTGGTGGCCCTCCATACAGCCCTGGTTTATGTGATGGGAGCGGGTCTTCCCCACTCCCTTCCTGCGTCCTTCACTGCAGGCTGCAGCCTCGCTGCTTCTCAGCATCCAGTAATAATGCCCCCATTTCTAGGACCCAATGAAATCTCCAAAGAACTTTACTTAGAACAGGTCTGTGGGCAGCAGGGGCAGCAGGGCAGCATCTTAGAGCTGGGAAAGTAAGGGCATTTGGAGTGTGCCTTGGAGGGCATTTAGTGTGACTCACACAAGGAGAATCTTCTCCACAACATGTCCCCCCCCCCCACCACAGCAGTCCTCCAGTCTCACACATTCCTGGTCCCCTTTGATCTTCGTCCCTCTGACCCCTCTGTATCTTCTATGTATACAGTTGTTTGCATATTGTCACTCCCCCCACCCCACCCCATTAGACTGGAAGCTCCTTGAGGGCAGGGACCATGTTTTTGCCTTTCTTTGTGTCCCCAGCCTTAGCACAGTGCTTGGCACTGAGTAGGTGCTTAATAAATGTTTGCTGACGACTTGTTTACAAAGCACTTTCTTCACAATCCCTTGAGGTTAGCAGTGCAAGGACCGTTATATTTAGCAGATGAAGAAACTGAGGCTGGAAGAAGTTGTGTGACTTGTCCACAGCCACAAAGCTAGTGGATGGAGGAAGGACACAAGACCGAGTCTTCTGACTCACTGTTATACCACGGTTGCCTCTGCCGTGACATTCTTTAATAAATCCATCCTGGCTCACAGACATCCCTGTTCTCCTTTCTATGCTCACAAACTATCCCTTCAACAACCCATGCTAGGTGAATGGCCTCTAGTCTTCCTCCCCTCCACCTTTTGGGGGAGAAAATGGAGACCTTTTCCCATCGGCAGTCTGGGAACCTCCTGCCAGCTAGCTCTCCAGCATCCCAAAGGATCCCTGCAATGGCTCAAGAATCACACACGCCCATTATCTCTGGACTCAGCACAAAGTTCAGCCAGGACAATGACTTGAACACTCCGAGTGAGGGTGGCTGGTTGCCCTGTTCTAATTTTTTCAGTGACCATTTTGGCTCTTTTCGCTTTATCATCCCAGCTTCTTTCTCCTTGGTAGAGAAAACAAAAGCGACCTGGGGGAATGGAGAGTCCTGCCTCACAGAGCTCTGCGGCCGGTCTCTCTTGCTCGGCCTGGAAAGCCCTGACGCTATTCTGACGGGCACCTGGTGCTCTTCTGAGCTCCTCCTCAGTCCCCTGCCCTACCGTCCCTCCTCTGTACTTCTCCAGAATCATTTGGATTCTTCGAAGTCGTTTGAATGTGAAAGCCTCGAGGCTTCATTCATCTGTACCCTGGTAATTGGACCCAATACCCAATAATGTATGATTGAAGCTCCCAAGAGGCTTCATTTCAGATACTGACATTTTATTAACAATTGCTTTCTAAAACCGCCCAGGGTCGTGCGCTTCTGCCTCGCTTTGAGTCCCGTGGCCCTTGGCCAATCCTGGGTCAGCAGAGCTCCGGCCAGGGCTGAACCTGCTCTAAGCTGTAGCTGTGGAACTCGGTGTGGCCCTCGGAGACCAGCACCCCGGAGGCCGGGCAGTGCACGACACACCACACCTCTATGGGCACCCTTCGTCTCTGTTCAGCAGATCGCTACATCTTTTGTGTCGTGTCTGCCTCACCATGGCCCTTCAAAACTGGGTACGGCAGGTATTGTCACTATGTTACAGATGGGGAAATGGAGGCCCGGGGAAGGTGCTTGCCCAGAGTCACACAGCAAGTTAGGTTCAGAGCTTGGACCAGCACCCAGCCCTCCACACCACCAGCACTTTATTCACTCTGCCAAAGCGATATTGGTGAGGTCATCTGTTCTATTCATTTATCAACACATCTTATCCTTCCTCCCAGATTTCACAAGGTCAACAATCCTATCTTACTCACCTTTGTTCCCCTTAAGGCTGAGAACAGGGCCTTGTGCATAGGGGGAGGGGTGCTCAATAAAGGCTCTCTGCACCTCATTTTCTTCATCTGTAAAATGGGACTAATACCTGCCCTACCCTAACTCACAGATTGTCGAGAGGCTAAAATGAGGTGACTGATGTGAAGATTCATTGATCAAAAGCGAAAAATTCTGTACAAATAGAAGGCGCCCAGAAGGCAGGGGACAGTGGCTTGCTCCAAAGTAAATAGGTCCCCTGGCCCCTTTCTGCCCCCGGACGAGGCCCTTGCTCAAATGCCACTCCTGCTCTCGGCAGTTACTGGTACGTCAGAAGCTCTGTGGGAAAACCTGACAATGGAGGCAGGAAGTGCGCGTATTGGGGGGCGGGGATGGGGAACGGTACTGAGCGTGAAGCACGGGGGCTGCTCCAGACTCCCCCGCAGACTCAGCACGGCTGGGGAGGGGACAGAAGGCTTTCTGCAGCAGGTGAGAAAGATCCAGGTCCTTCTTGCTCTCCACAAAGTCAGCAGTCTGAGCAAAGCCGTTCAGGAGTCACCTTCTGGGCCACTTCTCCTCCTGGGAAGGTTGTTGTTTCTGTTGGAAAAGAGACCACAGCGTCATTATCGCCAGCCTCTGCGTGCAGGAAAATAGGATGTGGTGTCTGGAGAAGAGAAGACTCAGGCCATGACCATTATCTTCAAATACCTTTGACCTGTGGGAGTGAGTTGGAGGGAGGCTGGTTTCAGCTTGTTTTAAGGTATTACTTCCAATAATAGCCAGGTGGTGCAGTGGATAGAGCACCAGCCCTGGAGTTCAAATGTGGCCTCAGACACTTACGGCTGTGTGACCCTGGGTAGGACTCTTCACCCTGTTTGCCTCATTTTCCTCATCTGTAAAATGAGTTGAAGAAGGAAGTGGCAAGCCACTCAAGTATCTTTGCTAAGAAAATCCCAAATGGGGTCACAAAGAGTCAGACATGACTGAAAACAACTGAACAATCCAATAATAATCATAGCTGGGAGGGTCCTTAAAAGTACA